GCTGGTAAACAGGGATCACATTATATTTATTCTTGTTTTTATTTCCACCCTTTGGGCCATTTCATCCACGTGGCCTGATGAAGAGCCCCTTCGGATTTTGAGATTGCCTTCCGTGCGCTTTCGAAGGAGGGCTTGGTCGGGCAGCACCTCGTACCCTCCCTGCACGGTGCTTTGTTTTTTTTCGAAGCGTGTCTTAACCTGGCAACTGTGTTTGTTCTTGAGAGTTACCAGCTGTGAAGTTAGGTGTATGAAAGCTAGCTGCCTACACTACCTTCCTCTTGTAAAGTGAAGACAGGTAGAATTAGGGCTCGGTAGATTTGAATACTCTGTAGACTATCATAACGTTACATTCGTAAAATACTCTACCCCTAAGTCACAGTCGTTGTTGTTTCATTTAAAATAATTGATATCATAAATAATAAACTATATGTATATTTTTTGTGGAAATACAGAACAACTACCTAATTAGTAATGAGTCATGAACATTTTGAGATACACAAACGTGCTGTATACACTGACACACTTTTATCCAAAAATATCGTTAGCGTATACGTATCTCACATCTACATTAGAAAATGATGTAAATACTGACTACTCTGAGCGCTGAAACTGCGGACTCATGGAAGCGTTGTAACTGCGAAGAGCCAAAAGTTTCCCAGAGTGACCGCGACATTAGCCGAGTAGTCTTCGCCCTCTTGTGGCATGGCTGATGTACGATGTTTCGGTGTTACAAGAATATATGTATTCTGTTCTATTCCTTGTAAAATACATTATTCTTGTTCGCTGGCAAGGTCACACGGAAAATTTCGTACACATTGCAGTTTTAACTAGTATATGTAAAGTATGTACATTGAGGACGACAGGAAGTTGTGAGGGTGTGAATAGGCCTTCATATCTCCGTTTTCATCCAAAACGTTATAAAAAACGAAATACATTTCACAGAACGTGATCGCTACACCATTTTTCCAGAAATTTTATCACCTCATTTGATTTTTTTAAAAACCGGACGCTCCCCTTCCCCTCTCTGGCTGCTTCTCGACAGGATACACTTTCCTCCACACGCCGTCTACTGCTCAGTTTTCAGTGGACCGCCTGTGTTTGCAGATGCGTTAAGGGATTCCACCGACAGACACACGGATGTGCTTTCTTAGAATATAGGGAAACGAAGCTTTATGGCCCTGTTTTGCCTCATAAGTCATACTGTCAGAAAATAAATAAATGAAAAACGCGGGAAAGGCTAATTGTGGCAGACCTCTTTAAAGTAAACAAAATGGTGTGCATGTATAGTTTTCCATAGAGATTTAGAAGGTACGTATGCAAAGCTGAATTTTATTTTTTTCATATCCGGCGCTTGTATTCGTGATAAGGATGTTGATAAAGTGGTAAAGACAGGCAATCATTCGTATCTGAACTGTGAAGATGGCGTAGCATTCGCATTTATCAGAAAATTACGGTAATTCTATTTTGTTCCCTAAAATATATCCTTTAGACCGCTAATATCGCGATTATATATACTGTCAATCTAACAAAATTTTAGTAATTAACAATCGCAATATGTCTTCCCCCGTCAAGTATTTTTTAAGCTATTTTTCCTAATTTACATTCACCTCATAGTTTATCAATGTCTTGAAACTTTTACATATCCTCCCACATAACAATAATAGTAATGACTATAATGATTATGATAATGTTAATAATAAGAAGGCAGTAGCAATGTGATATTGCTGCCATAATAATAATAACAATAATGATAACAACAATTCATATCATTAAAATTTCTTGCCTTCGTTGCACTGTAATACCATTGATACTATTATCATCATCATTTAATGTAGCGTTATCCTCACTGCTGGCTTCATCATTTATTGCACCATCATCACTGCAGTCATTGTCATACGTTCATTGCAAGTAATGCGGTCATTATTTGCCTTGTTTTTTTTTTCCTTTTCATAACAGAGGCAAACTAAGGTAACATTTCCGGTCATGTGATCGAACCAACTATTCTTAGCTATGTTGTGGCTTTCATATATATATGTATATGTATATGTGTGTATGTATATGCATATATGCATATGTATATATATATATATATATATATATATATATATATATATATATATATATATATATATATATATATATATATATATATATATATAATATATATATATATTATATATATATATGTCAGTTCACGATTTTTTTTTCGAAATTCGCAAAAGAGATAATAAAAAATCTGAAAAAGTAAAACATCATGGCCTCACTGAGTCACGCTATCCCCTTCGTTCTGTGTACTTTCTCGGACCAAAAAGTATTGCATTTTTACGTGAATTTTTCGGAAGAGTGATCCCAACCCTTTCCATTCTGTGACCCCGCGACCAATTTATGTTGATCTCCATGGTTCCTGTCAGTGACTGTCATCTTTTCAGATTCGTTTAATACTAGTTATGAATAGTGTGGTGGCGTCAGTAGCTATAGGACAAGAACATTTTATGGAAAG